TGAGGGAGGGAGGGGAAATGAGGGAGAGGAGGGGAAGTGGAGGGAGGGGAGGGGGAAGTGAGGGAGAGGGGAGGGGTGAGGAGAGGAGGGGAAGTAGGGGAGAGGAGGGGAAGTGAGGAGGGGAGGGAAGTGGAGGGGAGAGGAGGGAAGTGAGGGAGAGGAGGGAAGTGAGGGGAGGGGAGGAGGGGAAGTGGGAGGGAGGGAGGGAAGTGAGGGAGAGGAGGGGAAATGAAGAGGAAGGGAAATGAAGAGGAAGGAAATGAAGAGGAAGGGAAGTGAAGAGAGAGGGAAAGGATGGGGGAGGGGAAGTGAAGAGAGGAGAGGAAGTGAAGAGAGGAGGAGGAAGGATGAGAGGAGGGGAAGTGAGGGAGAGGAGGGGAAGTGTTGAGAGGAGGGGAAGTGATGAGAGGAGGGGAAGCGAGGGAAAGGAGGAAAGTGATGAAAGGGGAAGTCGAAGAGAGGAGGGGAAGGACAGGAGAGGAGGGGAAGTGGTGAGAGAGGAGGGGAAGTGATGGAGGGGGGAAGAGGGGAAATGAAGAGAGGAGGGAAGTGAAGAGAGGAAGGAAGTGATGAGAGGAGGAGGGAAGTGAGGGAGAGGAAGGAAGTGAAGTGATGAGGGGAAGTGAAGATGAGAGGAGGGAAGTGATGAGAGGAGGGAAGTGATGAGAGAGGAGGGAAGTGATGAGAGAGGGGAAGTGAGGAAAGGAGGGAAAGTGATGGGGAGGGAAGTGAAGAGGTGAGAGGAAGTGGAAGAGGAGAGGAAGTGATGAGAGGAGGGAAGTGATGAGAGGAGGGAAGTGATAAGAGGAGGGGAAGGATGAGGAGGGGAAATGAGGGAAAGGGAGGGAAAGTGATGGGGGAGAGGAAGGATGAGAGGAGGGAAGTGATGAGAGGAGGAAGTGATGACAGGAGGGGAAGGATGGGGGGAGGGGAATGAAGAGAGGAGGAAGAGAGGAAGGAAGATGAGAGGAGGGGAAGTGAAGAGAGGAGGGGAAGGATGAGAGGAGGGGAAGATGGGGAGGGGAATGAGAGGAGGGGAAGTGGATGGAGAGGAGGGGAAGGGAAAATAAGGGAGAAGAGGGGAAGTGAAGAGGGAAGGGAAGTGAAGAGAGGAGGGAAGTGATGAGAGGGAAGTGAAGAAAGGAGGGAAAGTGATGAGAGGAGGGGGTGATGGGGAGGGAAATGAGGGGAGAGAAGGAAGGGAAGTGTAGAGAGGAAGGGAAGTGATGAGAGAGGGGAAGGAAGAGAGAGGGGAAGGATGAGAGGAGGGGGAAGTGATGGGAAGGGGAAATGAGGGAGAGGAGGGGAAGGAAGTGAAGAGAGGAAGGGAAGGATGGGAGGAGGGGAAGTGGAGCGAGAGGAGGGGAAGGAAAATGAGGAGAAGAGGGATGAAGAGGGGAAGGGAAGTGAAGAGAAAGGGAGGAAGTGGATAAGAGGAGCGGGAAGTGGATGGGAGGGGAAATGAGGAGAGGAGGGGAAGATGAGAGGAGGGGAAGGAAGTGATGGGAGGAGGGGAAGTGATGAGAGGAGGAAGGAAAAATGAGGAGAAGAGGGAAGTGAAGAGGGGAAGGGAAGTGATGAGAGGAGAGGAAGTGATGGGGAAGGGGAATGAGGGAGAGGAGGGGCAAAGTGATGGGAGGAGGGAAGTGAAGGAGACTGGTAGAGATCTTAAGTTACAGGATCCCTTGAGTGGCTGTGCCCGGGGTCGTCAAGCAAACACACGTCTCCTCCCTCACCCCACCTGACTTAACCTGCCTTGCTGAGACCTACTCTCTCAGCAACCCCACTCCCCATATGAGACCTACCCCCATATGACCTACCCCCATATGACTCTTCCATTTCTCATGACCTACCTCCCACATGACCTACCCTCCTCATGACCTACCCCACATGACCTACCTCCTGAGATGACCTACCTCCCACACATGACTGCCTCCACATGACCTACCCTCCTCATGACCTACCCATGGCTTGTGAATCATAGTCGTGTGTGTGTGTGTGTGTGTGTGGGTGGGTGGAGGCTGTGGAGAACTTCCCGACGAATGATTGATGTTCTCCGGTGGCTCGTCCTCACTGACCCTTAGGGCGGCCACGACTGCTCCTGGGCCCAGTGCCAGCCACCTGCCTGGCGCCGACCACGCTAACTTCTGTACCTGCACCCTGCACCACCCTCCCTTGCCCACTCCATAACTTGAACTGCTTCCTTCCACCCTGTACTGCTACCTCCACCCTGTACTGCCTCCCTCCACCTTTATATTACTCCTTTCCACCTCTACACCGCTCCTCCTCTACTGCCTCCTTCCGTCTCATAGGCCTTACCTCCTCCACCCCTGCTATGCTGCCCTCCACCCTGCTGCCTCCACCCTGCACTCCCACCCTGCACTCCACCTCCACCCACCACCTCCCTCCACCCTACAGGCCTCCACCCTGCACTACCTCCCTCCACCCTGCACTACCTCCACCCTGCACTGCCTCCCTCCACCCATCCACCTCCACCCCATCTGTTATCTGGCGCCAGTAATCAGCTGTACGCCAGGTAACAATATAGATCTCAAACACATTAGTATCCATAAATGTACCACCAGCTTAAACTTGGTCAGTGCTGAGTAATAGTAAAACTTCAGTGATGCGTACAATCTAATTGAGGTGGTCACATTTGCACTGTGCTGCATATTTGTGTGTGTGTGTGTGTGTGTGTGTGTGTGTGTGTGTGTGTGTGTGTGTGTGTGTGTGTGTGTGTGTACCAGAAATGTTATACATATTTTAGGTCAGGTTCAAAGTATGAGAATCATTTTTATGCCCAGACATATACAATACACACACACACACACACACACACACACACACACACACACACTATAACGGTCTTGTTTGCTTGCACGTTCCCAAAACAGTATCATGGCAGCTCCTGAAACCCATAACATTCGTGATATTATTCCACTTTAGTAATTATCTCTGTATGTTAGGTGTAATTATGTTGTCAACTTTGTGTATATAGGTAAAATATGACAAGCTATCTTCAGTTACCCACTTAGTTTCATTTAAATACTGAGCTACAATGCCACATTTGAACTCTTCCGTAACAAGCCCCACCAAGTTATTTATATCGTAGTGTACAAAGTTACGTAGTATATTTTTTTTGTCTCCCGTACTCGTGATTTATTTGAAGTGTGACGTCATCGCTACTGTGTTGGTTCCAAGAGTTAAATCAATGTTTATGACCTGCGATAAACCTTCTGCTGTTTGCGTTTGTAAAGGTTGTGCCAGGCTATGTTTACTTCTAGAAGTGATTGGATATTGTTTACATCAAGTGTTTTAGAGTTTGCGGATGTGTTACGAGGAATAACTGACTGTCTGTGATATCGACTTGACCCGCCACACACCTTCGCTCGCAACCAACCAGGAGCCAACTCAGCGGATGACGTCCTCAGCCCCACCAATCACAGGTCCATTTTGTATGACGTCGCTTCGGTCCATCCAGTCAGAAGGCTCACATTATATGACGTCACAACCTTCACTAATGGCAACTCGATGCATCATAACTGTCAACTGTATGGTATTGCCTTGTAATAAAAGGAAGATTTTCTTTCCCTCTCTTTTGTCGTCATTTTCCATTAGAGTTAATGACAGGATATGAAAGTCATTATGTTGCTCTGGGAAGCTTAATTTTGAGTTAAAATTATCCCAAGTGAATCAGTGGAATGGAAGAAATACTGCATTGTATTTATTCAAAGCACAGCAATTATCGTATATCTTTGGATAATCACTAACAGCATATGGTAGTGGGAAAGATAACTATATAATTATTGCTTTATAGAACTTGAAACGCTAGGAGAGGAGACTAGTATAGTCAGTTTGAATACCTATATCTTGTGATCCTAACCTAACCTACCTTATCAGGCTCTTACCCCAACAAAAGGTAATAATGAATTTGTTAACGGTTGTGCCATTAGAGAGAGAGAGAGAGAGAGAGAGAGAGAGAGAGAGAGAGAGAGAGAGAGAGAGAGAGAGAGAGAGAGAGAGAAAGAGAAAGGTTGCTAGACGTCACCATATGTTTACAGTGGATAAGGCGGACGAGCGGGAGAGAAGCGTGTGTTTGGGATGAAGTCCACCTTTTTTGTTTTTATTTACATTACCAAACATATATGATACTTAAACACAAACCAGAACTGATATTGAGGTTATTAAAGAGTTGTATGAAGAACGAGGGATTCCCAGTGTGATAAATAAACGTAGTATGTTAATGAATGAAGTGGGGCATTATAATTATATTTGATGAGGGGTTCTAGGGGCATTGGAAAAAAGAATGAGGATATGTGTTGGTGTCATGAGGGGATTGTTGGTGTCATGAAGGAAGTGTTGGTGTCATGAGGGGAGTGTTGGTGTCATGAGGGGAGTGTTGGTGTCATGAAGGAAGTGTTGGTGTCATGAGGGGAGTGTTGGTGTCGTGGGGGAGTTGGTGTCATGAGGGAGTTGGTGTCATGAGGGGAGTGTTGGTGTCATGAGGGAAGTGTTGGTGTCATGAGGAGAATTAGGAACTGATACTAATACTGGATTATAAAGTATGGTTCAGGTATCTCTTTGCCTGAATCTTGTATATGATGTGATGACCTCATTATGTCTGAATCAATAAAAGGCATCTCAGAAGTGCAACAGTAACAGATTGAAACATTCCTATACATGCCACACAATCTTCAGAATTTGGTAATGGGAAAGACTTGTCATTCATAGACTTTACCATTGATGGTTCCCCATTAATGGACAACAACAACGGGTGGAAGGTTTTACTGTATGTTGCAGTTCAGTATTTAAAATAATATCAATGCTATAGTAATAATTTATTGGCCAGCAGAGTATGTAAGAATGTATTGGTTTGTTGGATCATGTTGACCTTAATTTAAACGATTGTTAGTGTTACTGTTTGCAATTAACTGAATCAAGAAATTATTTCTTATCCAATCACTGTAATTACACTCGTCTTCCCTCTTCTTTCCTACCAGACCAACAACAGGACTTGGACATCCCAAGTCTGCGAGTGGACGATGGAGAACGGCCCAAAAAGAAGGACCGTACGACGTCTGGCGGTGCCTATATGGGTAGCCAGGCATCGCAGGCGATGATGTCGGCAATACCCACCACAACAGCCACCATCACCACCACAGGCCATAAGGAGGTCTCCATGTCCCATATCCAGGGAGTCAAGAAGCCTTTCGTGCATGCTAACTCCTTTACAGGCGAGAAACTCCCTAAGTACGGTGTTGATACCCACCACGAAGAGGAGCTGGGCAAGGTAAATACTGTATATTTAGTGGGTGGTGTCTGTGGCTTAGCGTGTGTGCATGTATGATGGTTTGGATGTGTACATTTGTGGACAAAAAAAGTTTATTAAGCGGGGGGGAGGCGGTATAGTATGTCACATATAGGTGGCGTTTAAAAGTCAGTGATTTTCTTTTCATATAACAAATGTTTAAGGAGAATTTTACCCTTCCACCTGATGCTATGGTGCCAAGTCTACCTACAATACGTCCCCTACCCTCCCATACACCACTTACCTCCCTGCCTGCCGAATTCTTTTTGTCCACGACTAACTATAATATATATATATATATATATATATATATATATATATATATATATATATATATATATATATATATATATATATATATATGCATGCAAGTAAATCACTGTACTGTAGGTGCGCGTGATCCAGGTATATGCTGATAACCACAAGGAAAAAGAAAACACGAAGTTCCCAAGCGCTTTCGTGTAATTCACATCTTCAGGGGCGAGTACAGACTGTACTCACCCCTGAAGATGTGAATTACACGAAAGCACCTGTGTTATCACATATATATATATATATATATATATATATATATATATATATATATATATATATATATATATATATATATATATATATATATATATATATATGTGTGTACTGTACTGTACTGTATACAATTGTGTGTTTAAGTGTCCAATGATAGATAAAAGTTATTTCAGTTACAATTGAAAGGATTGACGAAATAATCATGTACATTGTGATATAATTTATATTTGTTTTGTTTTATACAGTATTTTGGAACTCGTAACTGTTCTTTCATAGCTTATACTAAATTATGTATTTATGTATCCAACTTCAAAAATTTAAACCTGACTAAATAATTGGTTATGTTTTGGGCAGCTGGAGGAAATATGTGAAGAGGTAAATTTTGATTTTATCTCTCACATCACGTTGTAGACCAAGGCACTTGTTGCACCAACCCAAGGGCTCTACAATCACTTCTAGTCTTTTCCTTAAATCTAAAACCCAGTACTGTATTGCTTGTGATGATCAGGCTATTCTGATTAGTCCCTGTAATACCTTGTCTATCCCTATATAGTAGTATATTATTATTAATTTTTTACACTTGTAAAATAATGAAGAAACAGTGTAGCGGTGTGAAGCACAACTGAGAATGATGTGATGGTGAGCATGTCATAGTAGTGCACTCCACTAGACGGCACTGTGGATGGGGATACTGTACACTTACTGTTCACTCTGTGCACTGTCACCCCCACACTACCACATGTCTCTCATCCACAAGTACAGTATACAGTACAAGATTATTGCATTTTGTCGGAAGCTACGTGTATACAGTGTGTATGCAGTATGTCCCTCTTCTTCAGCAGGTGTACTAATTTAAATGAAAAGCTTGTTAGTTTGGTGCATTCTTAGCTATAAGTTTACACTGAAGAAACATGTGTCATTTCAGCTACGTAAACTACAAAATTGGATTCAACAGTGAACCATAAGCACTTGCCTATCCAGACACAACCGAGAAAAAAAATCTGCCTAAAACCCTAAACCCTCGGTGAGCCAATTGGCTGGACCTGTTGACGACGGCCTCATATTCCAATAACTTGGTAATTCTAATGTACATTTTTCCTATTTCAGATTTTAGAAGATGTAGATAAATGGGGCATAGATATCTACAGGATATCTGAACTCTCTAATAGAAAACCTTTGACTACTGTAACGTACACAATTTTCATGGTAAGTTTTTTGTCCAACCCTCCAATTTGTATTGCTTTAAGATCTCGCAACGTTATCTACTTAAGGATGTATTGTCTCTTCAAATCCTTGAACAACCTCGCCATTGCAATACCCACTGACTATATCATATTAGACACTTACGAAAATACAAGGTTATCTTTTTTCTCTCATAGGTTAATACAAAAACAATATACCCCCCCTGTACATTTTCTTCACTTGTGAAATATTCTCTTTTCTCAACAGGAACGTGATTTGTTGAAGACGTTCAAAATTCCGCCCAAGACTTTCGTAACATTCATGATGACACTGGAAGAACATTACCTTAAAGATGTTCCCTACCACAACTCGCTTCATGCTGCTGATGTCACACAGTCCACACACGTCCTCCTAAACTCCCCAGCTCTCGAGGTCAGTCATTCGATTATTCATGGTTATAAGTTACAAATGGAGTCACACATAAAGTACTGACTTTAACTCAGATTTTATCTGTTCTTTAAACCATTTTACACCTTGTAAATGACGAATAGGGATTTAAGTTGGCTCATAATATAATACCGTTTTGTTCTGTTCTGTAAAGTATGACTAGATCTCTTAAACGTATGTCATTTAATATACAATGCAGTACTGCACAGTATTTATATTACCATGTAATGTACAATGTAACAAGTTTGGATACTTAAGTTCATTTATTATTTCAACAGTCGGTGTTTACCAGCTTGGAGATTTTAGCTGCCATATTCGCTGCTGCTATCCATGACGTGGACCACCCTGGCCTCACTAACCAGTACCTGATCAACTCCTCCTCGGAGCTTGCCCTCATGTATAACGACGAGTCTGTGCTTGAGAACCACCACTTGGCTGTGGCTTTCAAGCTTCTGCAGAATGATGATTGTGATATCTTCGCTAATCTGCTTAAAAAGCAAAGGCAAACACTTCGGAAGATGGTGATTGACATGGTGTTGGCCACAGATATGAGTAAGCACATGAGTCTCCTCGCAGATCTCAAAACTATGGTGGAGACCAAAAAAGTAGCTGGTTCGGGTGTTCTCCTTCTTGATAACTACACCGACAGGATACAGGTAAAATATAGCTTATTTTATAAATAACTGGTCGTAACTAGAGTACTGCATTTCTGTAATTTTCACAACTAATACAAAAAGCAAATTACAGTTTTATTATGCTAGATTGTAATACAATAGTGTAATCATTTTCTCATCCTATGTGCCATGTAATTTACTTTACTTTATCCTCTTCGCCACTGGTTGACCCGTTAGCTGCTTGGGTAATCGAATTATGTCTGTTGAACTGTTGGCAAGTACTGGGTATGCACTGGCCCTAGAATCCTTTTCTTATGAGAAAGGCCATGCCGATTGAAAAAGGACAGTGACCTGTGTGTGTGACCCCCCCCCCTTTTTCTTTCTAATTTTGTCTACTGTATATGAATGAAGCATCACAGAACACCACAAGTTCACAGAAAACGGTCACCCCTGATGAAGGTCTTGTAACATGTTAGTTAAAGGATCATAAGTTATATGAATTAAGGTTTCTTGATTTATTTTAAATTGTTTTGCTATGAAATACATTATTTCTCTAATGGAAAAATGTTTACTGGTATTGTTTGTCAGTCTAATTGTACACAATCTGTGGGTACAATAACATCTTGATTTTTTATTCAGATATTCGTGAAAATTGGTATGGAAAAACAGTACCCTGTACGTTATAAATACAAGTACAGTACTGTACTATACAAGTATAACTTGGATGATCATGAATATCAACCACTTTTCTTGCCTATTGAAGCAAGTCTCATAAACAGTCTGGAATATTTCCCATTGCTATACCTGTACTGTATGAAGCATATACAGTAGAAGTCAAGTCGTAGGAATAGCAAAGCTTAGGAGAAAGAGTTATGAGATAAGTAGTAACATGGTAGCACCTGTACCATATTGCCGTCGAGGTATCAGGGTAGCAAAGTTGTACATCAGCTGCAGTGTAGACAGTGTAAGAGGGGAACTGTGGGAGACATAAAGTTGTTAAAGTAGTGTGGACAAAATTATGGCAGTGTAGTAAAGTTTTAGATATATAAATTACAGTACTTAGAATTTGAGTTGAAGTATTAGTGCAGTATAGGCATACCCTGGGTTAGAGAAAGGTTTCGTTCCTGAAAAAATTTATGTAACATGAAATTCCGTAATGCTGAACCGATTTGAGATGCGTTCCCAGGGAAATTTTTCTTTAGCCAAAAAACGTAATGCAAGTACATATATGAATTAAAATAAACAGTTTTAAACACGTACTATGATTCATTCATGATGTAACATGACAATAAATGCACACAATACTTGAATTTAACGCACCAGAAATGATGTTAAGCGCTGCATGAGGTGCTGAGGCTAGGTGGTGCTGTAGTGTACAGTAAGTGGCCAGTTGTCAGTTCTCTTTGGTTGTCTATTGTCTCTTTGTATGGGCTCACATACGTACGTACATGTAAGATATCTCACACTCAGGATTGAGGTAGAATAGAAACTCACAATGCGTTTTCTGTGTATATATATATATATATATATATATATATATATATATATATATATATATATATATATATATATATATATATATATATATATATATATATATATATATATATATGATAAAATGGAAACAACGAGTACCTTAGCTTTCGTCTTTATTCAAGACATCTTCAGAGGCAACTGGATTACATGGACAGAGAGAGGCTTAAATATACAGGGTGACCTAAAAACATGAGGTCAGGTCATAATGATGACATCCACTAATCCCCACACCAACACACACGTAGAGGAGCTTAAGAGAAGGGTGGTGACGTGACTAGCCAGGTCAGGTCAGAAAAAAGGGACCCACAAAATAACTATCATACATCTAGATCAAAGGTTTTCAAAGCATATATATATATATATACAGTAATATTTTTTTTTTCATTAGTGCAAATTTCTGTAACCCGGGTTTCCATAATGCAGGGAATGCTTGTACTGTATCAGGTGTCATTACACCAGTGGGAGGGGTTGTAGAAACAGTAATAGACAAGTCCCTCCTCTGGAGTCATTCAAATCTTGAGCTGTCTGATGTCATACATGCATCCTGTGCTCAGGATGAAAGGTGACATAAAATACAAAAACTCAGCTCTTAGCTACCTTCTGACCTTCTGTACAGTAATGTAATGTTAATTAGCTTTTCAGTACCTGTATTTGAGGATCTTCTTTCACTTTTTACTTTTAATATGCTAAATGTTGTGATAATACTTGTAATATATATATTTATCATGTATTGTACATCTTTTACAGGTGCTACAAAATATGGTGCATTGTGCGGACCTGAGCAACCCCACCAAACCCTTAGAGCTGTACAAAAACTGGGTATCATCCATCATGGAGGAGTTCTTCCAGCAGGGTGACCGAGAGAGAGATCAGGGCATGGACATCTCACCCATGTGTGACAGGCACTCAGCCACCATTGAGAAGTCACAAGTAAGTTGAAGCCAGATAATTAAATAAAAAATACAGCAGAGACTTTTATTAATACAGAAGCTGGCTGTGTTACTAAGTTACAGTACTGTACAGTATATTTTTTGCATAGAAATGGTAGTTCTGTTGAACATCATTACTGTTCTTTTTAACTGTGGAGTGTAGTTGATTAGTTTTTACTGGTAATTTATTTTTCAGTTTTTAATTATTCAATTGATAATTCTGGACGTAAGCATCAGCGCCTATGTCCAGTATTTGAGACTGCTGTAAGGTCTCTAAGTATTTTGAGGTGGTTCAGGAAAGTCCTGTAATAAAGGAATTTTAAACATTGATATACAGTATACAGGGTAGTTCAGTAAAAAATTCTGGTACTGGTTCTGGAAACTTGTGTGAACTTACAGAATTACAAAATACTGTTTAGTATTGCATAAAATGCTGAGGGAAGTCAGACAAAAATGAATATGAACAAAGAATTACAGTTTGTTAAATTTTCATATGATATGCACAGCACCAAGTATTGTTTACAAATGGGAACCTCAAGCATTAAAATCTTCATGAAATATAACACTACCGGGTAACCATCCTAACCTGATAACTTTGAGGCCAATACTTGTAGACAATACTTAAGAGTTGTGTGTGTTTGTGATTAAATTCAGATTTGTTTTTATTTTTCCAAGAATCCCCACCTGTTTCTGCAATACCTGTACAGTACTGTACTATGTACCATATGTAGTAATTCTATAAATATAAATGTAGTATACATGTCTCCTAATAAGGCTGTACCATTTGAGTGTGAACTGAAATTATGATAAATTCTCTACATTTCCTTTTTACAGTAGGCAAATGAAAAGGGTTGTACAGTATATGAAGCAAAGAAGCCATTCTTTATAATATTATTCCTTATTTTTCTGCATCGACAGCTGGGGAATGGGTGGTATGTTACAAGGTGCTTGGGGTGAACCTTTCTATACTTAATTCATGGAAATGGGAAAGATGATAGGCTCAGTGAGTTACTACACTGTACATGTACTTTATTCATATTCACAGTTATTAGAATTACAGTACTGTACTGTACAAGTATTAAAGTGGTAAAATTTTAATCACATATATTTATGTGATTAATTAGTGATTGCTACAATAGTTTTTATAAAAGCATGTGTGTAGCAATGTTTTGAAATGAATAGCCTCCATTACCAGTTGTGTGTGTTTGTGGTTAGGTGATGCGAGTACAAAAATTTTCTTATTTGCATCTATGCTTAAACATCCAAATACTTTGCAGTGGGTATCAGAATCCTCTTGAACTTGCAAAATATTTGTATCTTAAAAGAACAATTCTCTAGATGAGCCATCCAAATTCCATTTGTTTATGCTTGTGACCTATTCAGTTGTATCTTTACAGTATTCTATGTTATTGTGCTGGAAAACATTATAAGAGAGAGGGAAAAGGTACTGCACTGCAGCTGTTAGTGCTCTCGACTCTCAGCCCAGGAGACAGGATTCAATCCTATGGATAGGCAGAATTGGTACAGCTTTATTTGTTGTGGCATGCCCTGCATTATTTACTACCAGCCATATCAGTTCCCCAGGTTAAACTAATCCTTTGTCTATTGGAAAATACCCTTAGATTGTGGGAACTACATAAAGAGTGTTGGCTTTTGTGATTTAGGAAAATTCTAAGATTGAATTTTATTTTCCAGTTTTAAATGAAAGGTCCCTTTTTTGTGTATACTTTTTTCTTATTCCTATTACTTTTGCAGGTTGGGTTCATTGATTACATTGTCCATCCACTGTGGGAAACCTGGGCAGACCTGGTCCACCCTGATGCACAAGACATTCTTGACACATTAGAGCACAACCGGGATTGGTATCAGCGTATGATCCCCATCTCTCCATCTTCATCATCAAATGACCTGAAGGAAGAAGAGTATCAGGGCGACAACTCACAAGATGTGCCTGAAGAAGAACTTTGTGCTGCTGCAGACAGAATCCAGATCCAATTTACACTTGATGATGAAGGAAGTGGAAAACGAGCACCGCCAGATGATGCTCAGGGTGAGGACCCTACAATGTGACCATTGGTAGCCTCCTACTGCACCAAACTAAAGCGTAAAGTGATGAGGTGGCTACACCTCAAGTGACCAACCCTACAGGAGGTGGGAACCTTGTTTACCCTCGTCCCCCTCCGTGCTAGTGGCCTCGTCTTCAACTTTTACCTTCGTACCTCATGTTCTGAGATTTCTTTAATAGCCAGGTGGACACTCTGACCGTCTGGCACGCACCAGAGCCAGAACCGCGATTTAGTGAAAAGTATGTTGTGCAGACACTTGGGTGTTTTTGTTAATGCAACTCCCTTGTGAGCCAAGTGTGCGTTTTGCCACGTGTCCAGTGCGCGCCCTGCAGGTTCAGGGATGTTCGCGTGGGTTTGTCTGAGCTCCCCAAGACTGTGCCGTTCGCCCAGCCTCAGCTGACCCAACCTTGCCTAGTGTGATCAATATTTTCTTGTAGCGTGGTGGAGAGGTAGGAGGTCACAACAGTGAACAGTGCCAAATTGTTCCTTTAAATATGGACCCTAAGAAAGTGAATTATGTTTATCACAAATACATGAGCACAAGTTTGGGAGGTTATTGTTTTGTGAGGACTGAGGCTTTTGTGTGGTACATATCAGATAGAGGTATTGATAATGGGCACATCACTGGTGCTTACATCATGATTTTGAGAGTGTAAGGCATTACAAGCTCTTTCATCAAACAGGTACCTGACGGGGTTCTCTGCTCTTCATTCCCAAAATAATCAAGCTATCACAGAAGCCAAAGATAATTTATTGCTTCGTATTTGTGGTGGGGGTTTTGGTCACCATCGTGACACATGAGCTACTGTATAGTACAAAGTCTGAATGTTTATACAGTAGCAGAGGGGCAGTGGATCTTGTCAGGTGTCATGTCTATTGTGACATGATAAGTCATAACAAAAGTGTATGAGATTTTAGGAACTTTAATTTGCCATTTCAATAGCCAAAAATTAACTTTTCTTCTTCATTGGGTCTATTTGTAACTTCTATTTATGCCAATTTCATGCAGGGCTCATGAGTAGTGTTTATTTTTTTGCAGTGTAACATTTCAGGTTTTAATCTTTTAGATGGCTTATTTTTTGACACTGTCATAGATGTTGGACAAACTTTATGTATGGTTTTTAATAAACTTTTGAAATAGGTAGACTTGTAGTATTTTCCCATGTGATAACAACAGAGTATTGAGAACATAGTAGGCATCATGTTGTACTCCATCAGCTGCTTCATGTCAGGTCATTGGCCAAACTCTTGAATCAGGGCTTGAGACATGTAAACCACTCAAGGGCCATCATTCCTCCCAAGATTAGCCATGTATTATTCAAAATAGTTAAAAAAAAAAAAAAAAGGCTCTACCTTTAAAGCGTCAGCTGCTCAAGCCGTGGCTTCAGAATTGTGCCCATAGTGTATGTGTTGCGTAGTTCCGGCTTTACCAAGTGATGATGTTCTGAGCCTCACTAACCTGTAGAAGAAAGGGAGGAGAAGTCATCTTACGGTGGAGGAGGGGAGTGAAGGAGGAACATTTAGTTTTGCAGATGTTCCCCTCACCAGACCTGAGGACTGGGTTGTAGGTGAACACCATTCAGACGACTGCAAATTATTTTAATGTTTATAATTTTTTTTACAACAAATATTTTTTTTCATTACAACCCGAATGTAGTTATACTGTACGTATATAATGCAGATGTTAATTTTTCCACAAGTATTAATTGTGGTATTGTATCTTACATATATGTGTGCATACTATTATAACGAGTATTTATATGTAAACTGATGAGCAAGTAATTATTGTCCTGTGTATAATAAGATAAATGAGTATTTAAACAGTATCTCTTATTAATTATACAATTATTTTTATATATACATATATATTTTGTGTTACTAACATTAGCTGATGCCTCAGGTCTAGGTGTAAACTGTAACATTCACAAATGTGGAACATCTGTATAGACTAGATTGATACTCTTTGTAATGTACTTCCTTGTATGTGAATAATCCTAAAAAAATATGTAAGGAGATACAGTACCTTATTTTTATCATGGAAGAAATTATAAATTTGTTGCTATTTATTCGTCTTTCTCTCGCTCAAGCTAGATTACTCATATCTTTTGTGACAAAGCCCCAGTATTTAGATACAGTATATACAGGTACAGTAAAGCACAATACAGTATCAGTGATTGATTCAGGACTGGCCAGTAGGATTCCTGAAGGCTTTCTGCTGGTTTATAAATTCTTATTTTTTCTTATGCCAGTCTTATAATAAATATAATTTTGGAGTTGAGACTTCAGATGAACACAAACCCAATTTTTCATAATGTTCCATAGTCATCAAGCACAAAAATGGTATCTCATTTTGTGAAGTCTTCTCTACTGTTATCCAACATACACAAACAAAAACAAGTGTGCACCTTACTGGCTGGAACTGCATCCAGCAGTGGCAGGATATCTTTATTATACTCGGCAAAAGATGAGAAACCAATATTCTTAGTTCTGTGTAGAATATTTTCCTACAGAAGAAGACATCTCTGTAATTCATCATAATATTTTTAAAAAGTGGAAAAGTGCCACAGTTTCTCAACTCCTCATAATCATGGCTAATAAAACTGATTATCTCTGAACAGGCCTTTTCTGTATGGTTGAACAATCCCAAAGTGCTTATGGTAATGGAGGATGTGTGCAGTCATGGCACACAATATTAGATAGTGCAACAATTACATCACTAGCTATGGTGAATATATTTGTCAGTGTGTATTTAGATACCTGAGTTACTTGAATTTTCCTTGATGTAAAAACTTATATATTTTTTTCAGTGTCATCAAGTAAGTACTTCACGTTTCTCGGTGTCGGCTGGAATTGAACAACTACAGTATAGTACTATTCCACTATCAATATATACACTACATGTGATCTAATTAAGCATATTGAGTTCTTTATCACATGCTTCATTAAAGTTTATTTTTACATATTGTATATGAGAAAACAAACTTTACTGAGGCTCTCTTGATCTTTATTAATCCAACCAATGTCTTACTTTAAAATATGGCCCCTTGTAAGTACTCACACATCTAAAAAATTGGACTGATGTTATTTTTCAAACTTTAAATTCCATTTAATTCTATACTGTACATGTTTTACAAACAAACTGGTTGGATTTATACTGTGAGACTCATTAAACCTCAGTCTGAATGGTCTGATGCAGGAAAAGCCATGGTCCTACTGATACTGTACTTCATAAATATAATGATTACAAACTAAAGCCTTCTGTGTGTTTTGTGTATTTCATCATTTGGCACTTGAATTCTCAAATCATAGAAAATGTAATTACTGTTCTATGTATTAATGACCTTCATTGCACAGTGAAAGGTTTCATACTACATGAAATCTTGTCATTCTTTGGTGATAAAACATGAACGCAAAGCAAAGAAAAACTGCAGCAACAAAGATATGTAGTTTCATACTTGTATAGACTTTCAGGTTGTGTTACTTATTGATTCAGATTGTGTCTTTATTTTGTAATACTGCATTGTTTATATATACTGCGATAAATGTGTTTAAGTGCTTTGTAATTATTAAATCAGATAAGCGTTGAAAATGAAGTCTTCTTATTTTTAAATTGTGGTAAAATGGCCATTGATTTATGTACCAGGAGATAAAATCATACCAATATCATAGGATATTTACAATTGCAATTAGCTGTTGATGATTTGTCGTTGATTTGTGTTCATGTTCAATTTTTAACTTTGACAGTTCTTGGACTGAGTCTTTTTAATGACCATCTTGGATAGACCAAGATAGGTGTATCACTTGTGGCTCCTATTCCCTGTGGGTGAGAAAGCCACAATTTTTTGTGGGATGACTAGACTTCCCACTGTGTACTCCTACAATATTGCTCTGGACGGCTACGTCAGGGATACAGCACACCCCTTTTGTGCCAGTGGAAAATTTGTGAACATTTGGAGTCTAGCAGCATTTGTAGGATTTTCATCAGAAAGTATTTAATGCCACATTTTATGTTATTTGCCCCTACCCCTCCAGTGTCCACAGCCCCATGGGTCCGTAGTGCCCTCCGACACTGTGTGGCCACATGCTGTTAGAACTCCATCACATTTTCAAACCTTTCAACCTGGTATGCTTAGTCAACTGTACAGTCTGTTGTGCCTATGTATATATGGGTAATATGAAATCCGTATAAATTATATAATTTTATGTATAATAGCTAGAATTATTTAATAAAATAAACTTTTTGAATAAACTGAATTTTCTCGTTCCTTGTTCCTCAAAATTTATTATTATTTTACAAGCAAGGAAATTGGGGATGTTTTTACTTGTTCTTGCCCTTCTCCTCACTTCCTACTCATAGTAGAGTCATTTTCATAGAATCTGTGACCATTGTGTTCCTACTTTATTTTTTTATTTTCATTTATGTACCATGGACTATTTAGAAAAGTTTTAGCTTCTATGTATGTATCTCTGAAATATGGGGGCTAACCATGCTGAAGTCTCTAAAATGGTCCAATTTTCAAACTTTTAGATAAATTCACTAGCATCATGAATGAGGGGATATTTTTCACCAAATTTGAGATGGGATGGTCATTTTCTAGTTTTGGAGTCATCTTGACCTTCAAATCCAAGATGACCACTGTCAGTCATGTTTGAAATAAAACATGGTACAGTATAACTTAGGAACCAAATGTGCTGTAGCACGAATGAGGTTTCTTTTCCCATTAATTCCAGCTTGGATTTTTAAAAAATCACAAGAAGAAAGGTAAAAGGAACATAAAGGTTACTTATTTCATGAAAACAACTCTACCAAGAGAAAGAATTTGTAATTTAATTATCTAGGGTACATTCTAAATTAAATTATACTTTTTCAGGTGTAGCACCTGAGATTGCCAGCGAGTAGACATCCATGTGTATCTGGAATCTCATTTCACACCAAGTCCTCAACCAACAAGGTGGATGAATGGGTACCAGGAGACAGTTTTTGTGCTGAGGACTTGCTGTTGAAGTTCTGCTGCAACATTCTTCATCAACTGCTCATCGTTGACCTCCAAGGAGGACATAACAGCCTCGATGTATGTGCCTCCTGCAGCAACCTATAGACCACCTCACTAACATTCTTCTGGTTGCGTTTGGGGATCCTATGAATGCCTTCGCAAATTCTTTGATGAGAAGCTCCTTCAAATGGTTTTGATAACTGAGCCATGTCCAAAATTGGAAATGACACAATTGTAATTAGTCATATACCTTGCAGTGTGCATAATTTATAGTCTTTAAAAGGTGACCTGACATACCTGAATGAAGAAAGTCAGTGCCTCTGGGTACTCACTCGCTGATGATGCTGTGTAGTTTTATTTTTAAGAAGTTTATGATCACTGATTTACTTGCCAGCATTCTACAATGATAATATACAGTGGCTCTGACTCCACTGTGTTACCATTTACAGGAGGATCAAAAATGTATATCAGTTTGGAAATGGGGTTTTCCGTGCTGAAAATACTAAGTTACAATAGAATGGAGAGGAGGATGAGTCTATGTTCTAAGTAAGTGTTCTTTGCAAGGTGGCATTTATGGTTGGTGGATATGTTGAATGGTTTGAAGTCAAAGAGACAAAGGCGGTCGAAATTTGGGTGGATATATGCTGATGGGTTAAACTGTTTTGGATACTATCAACCTGTGAAAGTATTGCCTCTATTGTTTCGAGTTATATTAACTGGATAAGCTACATGTTTGTTCGTATTGTTTTTTGTTTTGTTTTTGGGGAATTGTTACCCTGGCTTTGGTCAAAGACCCCTACAACGGAGAGCTTTGTAGTTAAGTTTTGTATCTCTTGACTACGAGATGGAAATTCCCCATTAAAGTCATCTTTGCAGTACCAGAATAAAATAGATAAAATTACATCAAAATGAAGGGATAATTTAGCAATCAAAACAATCAGAAAGTGGACACGACATATTTATTGTAATACAAACCTAATGTGAACAAAAATAGTTGAGATTGCAGCAGTCTTAGTATAAAATCAGCAAACCACAGTGCAGCTGTGCTAAACAGTGAGGTTAAATGGGTGACAAAAAGACTACTGTACTATTATTATTAGTGCATATGTTTGCAGTTCATGTTATAAGTTGTGTTACTGAAAGATCTATGTTTTTTACGGAGGAACTCAACTCCCAGTCTACACTCCATGTTTACTACTAAATCCTACTATGGGTTGTTGGTGGTCGAATCACTGTGGGCAGCTTTACAGAGTATGTTTTTTGTGTTCAATTATTTCAATGAGGCAATTATGATGAGAACAAGGATTCAAGGATGCTCAGTATTTTACAATGTATCATAATGTTGAGTAAATTCATATTTATCCTGATATGCATTATCTGGTTACTATTTGATATATAAACTCATGCCAGGATGGTATTTGGACGTTTGGGCTATGGGCTGTATGTAGGTATTGTTTTAAGTATACAAATTTATCAATTGTAAATTTTAATCCCCTTAATACCCCTGAGAACCTTCCAGCCATGATCCTTCAGATTAGGTTAGATTATTATGTTGTTATTTATATTACTTGTACCTTGACTCAATCTTTCAGGTGTCATGGCATAAGGCTCAAACGTTTCAGGGGGGTTGTGGTTCTGGCTCAAAACGTCCTCATTCCTCCTGTATGGTCGAGTAGTAGTAGTGAATATAAATATAGCTGCAACCAGATGCTTACTGCCTAGGAGCTAGCCCCCACCATCATAGTCATGTAAAACTAAAGGGAATTGTGACAATATTTCTAAATCTCAACGTCCTTTTTGCCTTGTTGTGGGCAGAGGTACAAGAGCTGGTTGACCTCTAACAGGAGGACCTGCCATCTCCTGGCGGTATCAAGTGTGAGTTACACCTGAGGTGTCGGGTGGGGAAGGCCAAGAACAGGGCCACACCAGCCTCCAACTTCACCGTCAATAAATTCATGGATATTTTATGTTTGTAAATTAAATATGCTGAAACCCTTCTAGTAAGTGTTTTCATCGGTAGTGCTCTGTGAATTTTATGGCATGGTTCTCACTAGCTCGGATATTTGGGACATCCCCCTTACACAATTTCTGGGTGCATCCTGGGAGTGGTAGTTGTAGTGGATTCTCCGCTACAACTGCCGTGTCGTGACAAGCCAACCCCACGCGAATTTATGTGTACGCCGTGGTCAAGGGTCGTAACTTGCGATGTCGCGGAGGCGATCTGTAACACTCGCCTCCCTCCTTTAAGACCTCACGTGGCTGTCGGTTTTTTCTAGCTACCGCCACCGTAATCGCTCAACCACCTGCTTTTTCAGGCTCCTCGCCCGTAGGAACTCTGGAGAAAGCTTCTCCTGACTTAGTAACTCTTTTAACACCGCACTGTACAACAATATATATATCGGAAACGCGTGTGAGTTTCTTTATTTTTCAGTCCTGGTGTTGGATATATTATGTATTACGCTTGTGAGGCCATATAAAGAGATCTGACAGCCTGCTGCAACGGTATGCTTTACAGACCCTGGAGCGTGAACACTACACTCCTTTCTGCTGCCTTCTCTGGGCTGGAAGATCGTCCGCTCTGCTGCCAGCTGGGCTAACCGCCTTTACCTGCGCGGTAATCACTCCCACTACTCCGTGGCGGCACTGCCTCACGACGGTGACACACTCCGGAAGTGGACGGATTTGTCTTCTACCAATCTTCAACCTGGCGTCGGGCTGGTTGGTTTATGTGAAGCAGCCTCATCGGCTGGTGCTACTGATGAGCGAAAGTCTGATCTGTTCCTTGCGCACGGAAGGTCGCCACGCTGTCTCAGGACCATTTCCAGCCTCAGAGAACAATAGATGCCATCTCTGGAGGATGCCTTAAAGCGCATTACCAATGACCCACCCCAGTCTCCCAGAACCTATCTTCTATCTCGCTTGAAACTCAACTCCGGATTCTCTGGGAGGAGATGTGTAGGTTGAACTCCAGGCACACAGACAGACTTACCGATTCTATCCTCGCCAGCCAGCTTCAAAACAAAAAGCCCCCCACACAAGTAATCATCACCTGTTCGTAGATTACTCTCGACACCTGAACTCTCGCATTTGAGCAGACAGAATATTTTCGAAAGGCGCTTGCTTGCGCTTCTGGCTACCGTGGACAACCCAACGACCACACGGTACTTACCCGAACTTGTAAACCGGTCAACACCCCTCAGCCGAGCACACTCACAAGACATCAGGAAAACTGTTAGAAACCTTGAACCGCAGGATGAACACTTATTGAACAGTTCTGCTCCTCCGTGCCTGCTGCTGGGCCTGTTCTAACTCACGCAGCACTTCCTACATCTCCGAGTGCCTTTCCTGCCCCGAACCCGCCAGCCCCCAGCACAACGAATATACTATCTGCTGGTATCACAGAAGTTTTGGCCCCATGCTTGACACTGTGAGCCCTGCACCTTCTTTGGGAAACGGCAACAACGGAGGTTGGTAGACGCCCCAGCCCCGTCCTTCAGGCGTCTCTCCTGCACGTCTCTGACTGCACCTCCAGCACAAATTCCTCATCAATACAGGCGTTCATCGGTCAGTAATATCCCTCCCTCACTAAAGATGCGTCAAAGCCCCTCTTATGACCTGTTCGCCTCCAACGGTACTACGCACATGCACCGCCTAGACGT